GGAGACGCGTGGCTTAGAAATACAAGGTCGCTACATATGCAACGAGTGCGTTTGGTGAGCAAAGTGCAACCGCTATCCCGTCTAATTCATGCAGATTCCCCTGTTAAGACGCTGAATTAAGGTTGATTTGACTAAGGCAAAGCAACTTTTATGCCAACTTCCTTTATTTCACTATAAAAATGTGTGGGACAATTTTCTGACTTGCATGAAAGGAATTCTAAATTTAGAAAGAGGCATTGCTGCCTGACTCTCAAGCCACTGGTTGGCCCCATCACACACTTGATAGGCTGCTCCTTCTTTCTCGACAGATTTTCTCCCAACTTGCGTGTGTAAGTAGTGTTCCCGAGGTTAAAGGTTTACTCCGCCGAAAACGGCCGCCATCCAAAACTGTAACGGTATCCCATCCACGTAAAAGATGAACAAACGTCCAAAGATGCTTTCTAGTTTGGATTTTAATCACATATTTTCTGCTGAATATTTATATTGCCTTTTCTATGGTCCGCAGCATTCAGAAGACTTGGGGTTGCAGAAGATAGGGGATGCCTAAAAATATGGGAGTCCAGCTGTGCCTATGAGGGGGTTGTGTGCTAGCAGCCTAGGCATGACAGAAATGTTTATGGTAAATAGAAGCCAACTGTGGTACGCTCCTAAGAAATTCGCGTATTTATAATCGTAAAATGCTGTTAAATATACTGAAAGTAATTAAATATGGCGTAGTCCATGCAATTGCCCTACTAAATACTTTTTACATGTAGGCTTGAATTTATGTATCTTTTAATGAGCTGAATTTACAATCGCTGAAACAAACGCTCAATTTCACGTTTGTGGGATGCCTTCTAGGTTCGAAATAAAGGATAAACCCCTTTTACTAAACCTTTTGCCCGCTCTTAACATTACTGAAATTTCAATTTTTCGAGCTTTATTGAATTTTCAAAACAGATTTTAAATTTGTTCTCGCACCCCTGATAGCGCTTGTGCAATATATTTTTGGAATCTGCAATGCTTTTAAGTTACCTGATTGGTGGAGTCTGTAGGCAGGCAACACAGGAACAAAATGCTCCAGTAAATTCTATCAGGTACATCGATATAGTAATGTGCGTGGCGAAATTTGAGTGTGTGAACGTAACCCTAATAGGAATTCCTGTGCAAATCGAGCGCTAGGTTGACCAAAATCGCAGGCAAATCGTTCTCGAAAATTCGCGCGTTGATTCAAACCGAACGAGGGTTGACCGCCGTAATAATTTGCCATAACTCCATCCCTCAATGCGATTTATTGGAAGGAAGACAACTTCGATGTGCTACT